TTTCAAAGAAAAAAAAATCACAAAAAGATTTAAAAAAACTACAAATTGATACGAGTGAATGAAGAAAATTATCAATTCAGAATTGTTCGACTTACCATGCCAAATATTGTAGAGATATATTCATAATGCAGAAAAAATTACTCATTCCGTACGAGATATTATTATTGCTGATTATCAGCGCTGCTGTAATTAATTTTTCTCGCATATTTTTTTAAAACCTCCACTAATTTGGTTCCCTGGGAAACGTGAAGTTTTCCTTAAATCAGCAATGACACAAGACACGCAAGGATATTTTTATCACTGGACGCTTTGGAAAGAGAGAGTGAATTCTCATGCGAGCCCAGCATGAAAAAAAAAACAAAAACAAGAACAAAATAGAAAGAAAAGAGTTCGCTTTAATATATAATGACGAGGGAAACCTAAATCCCATCAGTCATCTTTATTATTCAACTCATTTTTCCATTTTATTTGTCATGAGATGTAGACATCTCTCTTTGAAAGTAGCAATCCAGCAGCGAACAAAAAAATGCAGAAACAAATCGTGACAATTTGTTTTTTTTTCCTTTTACATTTTGTTATTAACTTACCACAAGCAAAGTTAATTTCCCCGAGGGGCTATTGATTTAAGGTAACTTTTCCAGAGAAAGTGAATTTTGAATTACTGGAATAATCCGTATGGCAATTCGCGAAATCATTAATTTTGATCAAAGAGGGAGAGGAGCACGCAATGTATACATTAAGATAGAACGGAAACAAATGGCCGAGCAGTCCATTAAAAAGGTAAGAGACCAGTTTTTGTATCTGTTTTACAACGATTTCGACTTTTTTAGGGATTAAAACATAATAAAAGAACCTGAAATCAATCCATGAAGCAAAAAGCTGTCAGTTTCGATAACAATCGGAAGAAACTGGTTGAGGTGAAATCGATGGCCTTGCGACAGTGTGTTCTTTTCTCTAAACGCTGAAACGGGAAATAACTAGAAGGAAAAAAAAAAAAAAAAGAAACGCCGACTACTAAGAGCATATTGACAGTTAGCTACGATTTTTATGAAAAAAATAAAGTTACAGGATATTACAATTCAATCTGTTTCCTTGGTTCATGCTTGGATTATAATGGTTTCTTTTTTCCTAAATAGCAAGGAAAATTAAATGAGAGGTTTGCTTATGGCGTTCGTTAACCGTGATACAAGTGCTGTCAGTACTTTAGTTTAAATCCATTTCAAAATAAATGCAATGGATTCAAGGCAAGCGAAATATTTCTCAAACTCCTGTATTTAAATTGAAAACACCCACCATTTATTCCAGATGTTTTTCCACACGAAAGATGCAACGAAGGACTGTGTAGCAGCTAGACTGAATTAGCAGAGACTAGACAATTGGTTTCGTGAGCTGCCTGATGGTCTTCCTGCATCAAAAGATATTTACATAGTAACTACATCTAGCCTTTTGCTACTGATTGGAGATTGACATCTCTATATCTAGGCCACTATCCATTTTTTTTTAAGCTTAAAAGTGGTCCCTCTTTATAACAAAAAAACTGTCATCTCATGCTCACAAACGATGCAATAAGAAAGAAGAAGTTTGAAAAGCATACTTTTTTTTAGCATAATTTAAGAGTTTATTACGGCTTCTTTAAAGCAATACTCTCCGCGCGGTTTTTTCTGATCTTTTCTATTAGGGATTGAAGACTTGCAACTGAACGAAAAATCACTTAAGTTGCAACAAAAACATCAAAAATACTATTTGTTTGTTGAAGTTTTTTTGATTCGCATTTCTTACAGTTTTTAATTTTTTTTTTTTTCAATTTTTTCTTTTTTTATTAGAGGCCGTCTTTAGGCTAGATTGTTTTTGTTTACTTATTTCTTATTGCTGTATTGAAAATTAATTTTTTTTTTTTCATCATTTGCATTTTAAAATTGAGGTATAGGCTCTTACACGAAACTTTTCCCGCTTGTCCTTCCTCGCAGGTCTCTAATGTGCATACGCACGCATACCACTACCGAAAGAGTAGCTAGACAGCCTCTACTTGGGCGAAGATCGTTTAGGAGTGAATCCTCTCTTTTTCTTTCACGGGTCCAATCAGTGTCTTCCCTTCTTTTTTATTGTTTTTTTTATTCAATCATGACAGATCAGATACCTTAAAGATGCAATAAGAAGGAAGAATTTTGAATAGCATACTTTTTTTTTTTCTAGGTTCACTTATTAGAGTCTTGCATTTTGTGCCCGTGAGGAAAGAGTGGGAGATGATGAAAAGGCAGAACAATCTCCTGACTGAATTGTGCGAGGGTTACATTTTTGACTCACACCCTGAATGGAAATTTTTGATTGTCCATAACATCTCCATGAGGGGACAACAGGAAATTATGTTTACAAAAGTAAAATTTCTGTATTTCTTTATAGGCTTCTACACTTGTCATTTTCTTCAAAAGTGTATTAAGTCGTATATTGTGAATAGTGTAAAGTTTGATCAGCTTGAATAAAATAAAGAATTTTTTTTTTTGTTTTAAATTTTCAGCACGAGCTCGAGATTGCATAGCCACTATAAATCCCTTAAAGATTTGCTTTGCTCTCAACATGTGGTTTGGTAGCTAGCTATAGGTTGGTATTGATGCCCACTAGTATCCCGGGGGCACGGGATCGAATTTCGACGAAGCCTTTTTCTGCCATTCCATCAATGGGAGCTTATTGGGAGTTTCTTAACCTGGGGCCATCGTGCACTTAGCATATTTGCTTTATGCAACGATGAAAAAAAAAAAAAAAACAAGAAAAGATCGGAGCAGTTTTCACAGAGTGTCGTAGAACCAAAACCAAATAACAGCCATCATTCAGAACAAAGGTTTACCTTATCATCAGCCAATGAGAAGTCAAAGTGAAAGAAAGCAGACTGCTTGAAGCGCGGGAAAACGCGGCGAATGACCAAGTCGAGATTGTTTTCAGTTTTCCATCTACTTGGTTGAGAGGACAGTGCAAGCTTTCTGGACCAATCACAGAGCGAAGTTCAGTAAAACTAAAATAATCCTTAATTACTTTTGACCCTCAATTGAAAATCGCTCAGAAAAATGTGCATATGAGCCACTTGTGTTATCTATATCTTGCCTGATAAATCACATGCGACTGATCATGACCTCCTTTTCGGGAACACAATGTTTAAACCAATTAATTTTCACAGAAATGAAAATAACGGCTTAAAATGTAGCACCACGCCGATTTTGGAGTTCACACTGTTTTCGCGACATACCAAATTAGAGGATTTTAATAGGGCGAATGTACTTTGCTCCTCATTTCGGTTCAATATGTAGGATAACCTTTGCCTATAAATCTTGCTAAGTATTTCGTCTTGTCACGAGTATTGGTCAAAGGAAAAATATGAGACCCCTATGAGGAAATAAAACGGATCCAACTCGGACTTTTCATTTTCTGGCAACGATGTTCCATCATCGAGCTTCAGAAAAACCCTGTGATAAGTTAGCTTTCAACATATTCTGTCTAGAAGTGACACATGTCTGCATACTACTTGGGCCGGATCATAATTTTTATAGCATTCGGAGGCAAAATCGAAAGGTTGTAAATAGGAAACCTCTCGGCGACATATACGCCATCTTCGCTCCACGCTTCTAATTTTTCCGTCCCCATTGGACTGAAAAACTGGGATGTAGTTTCAATGATAACTATGTTGCTGGAGGAGAGACATGCGTGCACCAATAATGTACGTGTTGGCTGTTTTTAAACTTCAAAGATCTGGTTGTGATTGTCTCTCTTGTAACTCTGGTACAATTCTTCGTATATCGGCCAAGAGAATTTTCTGTTAAGTGGAAAAAAGTAGCTGCTTGTAGCTCATAATTTTCACTCTTCTCTCCTTCCGTTTCTTACTGAGGTAATGCATATATGTTGAGGAAAAAAGTTGTTGAAGTCCTAAATGTAATA